CGAGTTTATTATAAAAATAACGAGATATTTTAAAAAAAACTTCATGTGACACGAATTTCGAATTTATTTTCACATATTAATATAGAAAAGCAGCCTCAGGGAAATGTCACATGACTATTACTAAAATCCTACCAAAAAATCCGTTGTCCGTTGAAACGCGATTTAAATATAAAATCCGTTGAAATGAGAATTTTTTAATTAATAAAATCAAGGGGTAAAACCAAAAATCCGTTGAAACAAGGGTTTGACTGTAATATTAATATATGAATAATTTTTTTTTTTTAAATAATTATAGAGACAAAACATTTCATAGTAAAACTTTATTATGGTGTGAAAAATGATCAAGATTTTTTATAAGCAATAAATAACACTGATATAAGGAGTTGATGGAATTAATCTAGATACAAAAATTACAGATAGAGAGGTGTTGTATGAATTTATTTAATAGATTTGATGATAATAAAAATTGAAATGTCAAAGGCTAACTAATCTCAATTCATGAATCCCTGGAAGAAAGTATTGGATCAATACTATATACAGTCAAACCTTGTTCTCACTAGTAATGTGATTGTAACAAATTTAATTATTAATTCACTACTTAGATGATGTTTTATGTGAATAGTATCTTTATAAAATAATTTGATTAATGTTGAAAATTGACTTGTGTTTGAAATTCATGAGTTTTATACTCATGATTTCGAAAACAGTATAGGAACTCCGAAATAGTTTGGAGTTTGAAAGCAGTATAGGAGTTTCGAAATATTTTCGGAGCTTTGAAATGGTATAGAATTTCAAAGTTTGAAAACAATTAGTTTCGGGGTTTCAAAATAGTTTCGGAATTTCAAAAACAATAGTAATAGGATTTTTCGGAGTTTTGAAACAGTAGAGAGATTTAGGAATTTCGGAAACAATAGGAAGTTTCGAAACGGTATAGAAATTCAGGAAAATGGCAAAGTTTCAACTAAATTTAATTTTAATTGTGAACAAATCAAATTTCAGGGGCAAAATTGTTTTTGTGTACCAAATTTTAATGTTTTGACATTTTCTAAAAAAAAAATTTTTTTTGGTTTTTGCTGTAAAACCCCTCATATATATTAATATTAATATACTATTAATATAATTTCCAAACACATAATATCTTCTTTACTCATTCATTTTGTTGATATTTTCATTGAGATTTTCGTTGATTGTTTTTTCGATTAATATGAATTTCAGGGCGAAAAAATTTATCGCTTTCAGAAATTTTACAGCAAGTTTTCAATTGTATATAATTGGCATTTTGCTAACCATTCGTGTTTTGTTTTTTTATCCGTTTTAGTATTAGTACAATAAATATAAATAAACTTTTGGCGTATTTAAATATATTAATATTTATTTTATAGTGAATATCCGATGTTAGTATTCAGTCACGGATATTATCAAAATAATAATAATAATGAGTAATTACTCAAAATAAAACAACTATTTAATAAATTTGAACACAAACTTTCGTTCAACGAATGAATTCAAATTCAATTAAAAAAAATTTTTTTAAAACTAACAAACCAAATTTTATCTTTAAAAACTTATATATATATATTTATGTTAGAGAAAAATGAATATATACGAGAAAACAGATTTAGAAATATCTTCGTATCCCAAATATCATGTGGCAATAAGCCCCGATGGTAAACATGTTGTCACTTTTGATACTGGTAAGTTTTCTAACTAAATATATAAATATAAAAATATGCTTGCAAACACATATATATAATTCCAATAATTAATTCCAATAATTTGTCCTATTTGCCTACTAGATACACTTGAATTGAGTACATGCATGATTGACAGTTTAGATCAAGCTAAAGCCATAAAATATGACGCATTATCAGTTGACACAACATTAAAATTGGTTTGGTCGTTAGCGGTCTCTAATTCAATAGATACTAATGGCAAAACAGAAATATTAATAGCATTATCATGTTTCGATGAACATACAATGATGTTGAATCAGAATAATAATAACATTGAAGAAGGTCAAGGAAGTTATGATAATAGATATCAAAGAATAATAACAAATGACGAAGAAAATTGTTATAGCAAGAAAAACTATTCAGAAACTTGGATATTTTCTACTAGACATACAAAGAGAATTACGACAACAATTGATGAAATTGGTGGGCTAGTAAAATTTTTAAATAATGATAGTAAAATAACAGCAAATGATAACAATCATGCAAGCGTTATTGTTTTGAATGCTACAGGAATTTATAAAACTACTTTTAATGTTTCTACAACGGAAAATGAATCGAAAAATAATGGAATGATGGCAAAAGTAATTAATTCAATAGACGATATCAATAATATGTTGTCTTTATTTTTTAATGATTTAACAGCAACACCTCATGAAGAGTTCTCTTATCCACCAAAGATTCAAATGGAATTGAAAAAATTATACCAGAACATTTCTTGTCTGGAACTATTATCGCGTAGTATTGAGAATGATTATTTTTTGGTGGAGGATTATAAAAATAGAATACAAGTTGTAGAAATGTACAACTTAAATACCAGTAAGTTGGATATGATATTCCATCAACATGAAGATATTGTCAATACTTCAGTTGGTCATGGTAGTCCTGCCGTTTCCATATCCATCCATAAAACATTACTGGCTTACTGTAGAGGTTCAAACTTTATGTCTATTTATTTGATGGAGAACAGTTTGGAGATCGCTAGTCGTCAATTCAATCATCTCGAAAAAATCCTGTCAATAGATTTTGTTAATGATGATGAGTCTTTATTGATAATCGCTGTTGAAAAAGAAAGATCAACCCCAGTGATTATTGTATGGGACCTTTTCACTTATTTTAACGATTCTATACGGATATTGAAGGACTCAAGTCAAGTTTTTCCTAGCTCGGGTCATCGCTTAGTTAGATCATCCGGTAAAATTTTATTGATTGATGAAAGTGGTAAACTTAAATCTATTCTAAAAGATAAGTCCCTAAAATACTTATTAAAGCCAAATAGAACATCCGATAAATTGATAGAATTGCCATTACAAGAACTTTATGAATCTGAATGGGACCAGGCTGTAGCTCATACCGTATTTGATCAGAGTGATAAATATGATGTAGACAACCTAAAAATAAGAAGCAATGTTATAGCTCATAATAAAGAACCTTGGAATCATAATAGAAATTATAATCGTATATCAGCATTTTTAAATAAAGAAAAAACTTTACAATTATTTATTGGCGAGTCTACAGTTCAAGTCTGGTATAAGAGGAAGTTGAAAGAAGGTAATGATAGTTACGATCCGAAAGGTTCAAAATCAATATTGAAATATATTTGGACAAATCCAACCAAGGAAAAAGCTCATTTAAAATCTTTGAAAATTGGCGATAGAGAATTTATAGTTAGATTTGGATTTGGATCAAATTCATATAGCAACGAAAAACCAATAGAGATTCATTGGCCATATGACGTCAATGCTATCAAAGACGCATGTTCAGCATTGCATTATTTCTACACTAGAAGAGATGACCCAGCTGGACCCAAAAAACAACAACAATTTGAAGATTTAATAGCACAAACAGAGACAATTGTCATTAAATTCATCAAAAGAAACCCCTCAGTGTGGAAAATGATTGATGTACGTTATGAAGTTATGGCCAATCTAATATCGGGTAGACGTATATCATTGATACAAAACATCTTAAACCCCGACAAAATGTTTTTTAAAAATCAAAAGGATTTAATAATGTTTTTACACACTCCTAGATTATACGAATGGCCTCGTAAACCGAAAGAGAGTGACTTGGAAGTTGCTATTAAATGTAGTGAAAAAAGACATAATAAAGATTTGATAATTGTGTCAACCCTACTGGATTATTATTCTGAGAATGCTATGGATAATACAGGATGGATGTTTTCTGTAAGCCGTGCAATACCTTTATTATTGGATCACCGTTTAGGTAATAAATAATGACAACAATAACAACAATAATGATAGTAGTAATTATTATATAATTATTAATACTTTCGTTTGTTTATATTTTAGAAACGTTCGTCAAAGATTTATTTTCTAAACCATGTTTTGGAGCCAAAGAAATACATGTAGATGAATCATATATTAGTCCGGGAGATTTGCCAAGAGGCAAATCCAAATATGTTAGAGCGTTTGATGCAAAGATGGTATTAAAACGTAAAATAAAACCCGTGGAAGAAAACCGATCTACAAAAAACAGCAGCCATCAATTATCAGCATTACAAAAAGTCATACCAGGTTTAGATCGTGCAAATTCTTCGTCGTTGATAGCTTTAAGGCTTGCGCCATTACCTGACTTCACTGTTTACCCCGAAAATGTTAAACCCCAAAATGTCAATTACAGGTTTCTACCATTACAACTTTTAAAGATATTGATATGGCCGCGTAACTACACAATCACAAAAGATCATAAATTGAGCCCGTTCATAAGAACTATTAGAAAAGATAAAAACGGCATAACACTTGATAATCCTTCCGTTGAGGCAATTATAGATTTTAAATGGAGAGCAGCGAGAAATCATTTTATCAGACATTGTATATTATATTCTAGTTTTGCATTATTGTTTGGTGTAATAACAGGGGCAGTTAAAAATACATTTTTCACTCAACATCAAAAAGATTCGTCAGGATATGGAATAGAAATTCTATCATATTTATTAACAACTATATTCTATTATTTAGGATATTATTTATTGGCAATTGAATTAGTACAATTTAGACATGAGGGTTGGAGAAGATATTTTAGTGTCTATAACTTTTTTGATATAGCATCAGTTATTATGCCACTTGCAGCTTATTCAGTGGGGTTGATTAGAGCTAAATATGATGCAGATGATCCCATTACATCGGGGAGACAACTAACCATCGCTATATCATTTACAATATTGGTTATGTGGTTTGAATTGGTATATATTTATTTATTTTTATTATTTTGCTTACGAATTTGATTATAACAAGATATTTGATGATTAATTTAAAAATTTATTTTATTTGAATAGTTTTTGCTTTTAAGATTTTTTTCAAGTAAGCAATTAAAAAATAAAATCAAATAGAAAATTTACTTTACATAAAAATAATAAATGTTTATTATTTTTTTTTTCCAACTAGTTACGGGATATTATATTTATATTATAATTAATATTGTGAGGATTGTTTGGCCATTTATAGCATTTATGTGCATAGTAGTCTTAGGATTTGGTCATGCAATGTATGTTCATTATAATTACTTTTTATTATTTTTCTTCAACTTTCTTTCTATCTTTTAATGACAAAAAAATAATGTTTTTTAGGTATGTTTTACTACGTTATCCGGAAGAAATAGGAGTAGCTCCCGATGGGAATCAATACCAATATACAGATCCTGCCACAAATGCTAATGTAACTATAGATGCGTCTTATCAATTGGATAAAATTAGTGACAATCAATTTTCAAATTTCTTTACGTCGGTTTTTGCTGTGTATTTTTGGATAAATGGACGATGGGATCAATTGGATCAATGGATGACTTTTGTACCAGTCAATATTCTATCAATTGGTGCAAGTGTTTTATTGGTCATTATTTTGCAAAATATGTTGATCGCTTTTATGACGTAAGTAATTGGGCAATTATTGTGAAATGTTGTATTTACAATAAATAATCATAATTATTGACAAATAATTGTTTATTTGTATTTTCCTTTATACAGGGGGGTTTTTGATGATGCAAGACATGAGGGTAGACATGCAGTGCTTAGATATAGAGCTGATTTAATATCAGACTATGAGACATTAGAGAAACCATTTGGAGATCGAAAAGGCAATCCACGTCATATATTTTATATTGGCGATACAAATAAATTTGCCGAATGGTTGAGTAAATGTGAACAATACAAAACGTTAAGATCCACAACATCGCTGAAAGAAAAGGATAACACTAATTATTTTTATGATGATGATGATGGTGGTGATGATGATATTGATTTGACTGGTAGAAAAATAACGGAATATATTACTCAAAACTTTTCAACGTATTATATATGGAATAGCAAAATAAAAGACAATACTGATGGCAGTGCTGATTATGGATATTCTTCTTATCATAATAATAATGATAGTATTGATGATGATAATTTCAATGGCAATTTGGACAATGATAATATAATAGTCAAAGATAAAATTCGAGATGTTGGTTCTTCCAGTTCTAAATCGAATATTCAACGACGATCTTTATTGCCAATAGAAGACATTATAAAATCTAATAAAGATAAGGAGAATACTATTAGTAGTAATGATGATTTTGTAGAAGTGAATTCCATTCAAAAAGACATTTTAGCATTAAATAATAATATAAAATCCATTGAAAATAATTTTGATAATAGGATGAAAACAATGGAGAAAAGAATTGATCTGATACTAGATTTCATGGCAAGGCTTGACGGTGTTAATAACAATAACAATAACAATAATAATAACGATAATGATAATAATAACAATGAATTAATTAATTAATCAATTTATTTATTTATTTAACTTGATGAGAATTCTAATGTATTTTTATAATTACAATAAATAAAAGAAATTTAATATAATAAATACTTATATTAATATATAAAAGCATGTGCTACTGTGAGATGATGGATGTACCAAGATTCAGAAATTCTAATACCAAATCACTTTATTTTTTATATTGTAATATTACTATTGCGCCGGTTCTTTTTTTAGAAAAAAAAAGGTAACCATAAAAAGTTCGCATATATTTATATGGATTAGATTTGCACTGAATTTACTGAATTTAATTGTTTCGCGTAATTTCTAAATGGCAATAATTTAGTATTAGTAAAAAACCTCGGTTGATCTTTTCAATATTACTTTTTTATAAAGGAAAATACTCACCCAATCTGCGTCAATATTCAATGCCCATTGGAATTTTTCAGAAAGGCTTTTATTAAAAATTTTGGCAATTGGTACATTGTACTTTTTACACCATGCAACAGAGATACGTGGGTCCAAGTAATGAATTTTTGATGTGCCCAATGCCATTGTCTTATTATCTTCTTTTTCTTGTCTCAACAACTTGGTGATTTTGATACATTCTGTCAAATTTTCTATTTGGATCCGGAGTTTTTCACTTGTTTGTCCTTTTCTCAGATTGACCTTTCCAGATTTTTGTTCATTCTTCAACACCTTCTCTTTTTCATCAATGTCTTTTAATAATTGTTTAAGATGCTCATTGGGTTTAGGTGACTTTCCTTCTTCTGTAAGCTTTTCATTATCTCTTTCAAATTTTTTTACAACTGCCAAACATTCCCTTTCCATCAATTGCTTCTCATGCTCAATTATCCATTCTTCTTCCATGTCTGATTCTGGTTCAAATAATTGAGGCTCTTTCTTTTTTAATCTGGGCTCAAGATTCAACGATTCCATTTTACATCTATTTCTTTGGTATTTCAAAACATGAACCTAACATATTAAAGAATACATACATGTGAATTTATTTAAGAAATTAACAATAATCATGATAAAAAAAAATTACCCTATTGTCAATTCTACGTACCCATTTATTCACGGATTGGCAATTAATAATAAAAATTTGCACATCCCTCTGCTAAAATCTTGTTTCACTTATAATAAAAATGAATGAAGGTATTTTTTCTTATAACTTTTTTAAAAATATAATAGTAGGACTTTGCATCTTAACATTTTTCTTTATAATAA